AGATCAAGGTCATGGCCATGGGGACCAAGTTTGCCCCCAGCTATGCTTATTTATTTATGGCTCACTGGGAGAGTATTGTTATCTACGTCCAACATAGCTGGGTGGGAAAACTAACGCAGAAGTAACAACACCTGGGTGTGAGAGTCGGGAGGACCGCAACCCCTGCAGCGCTCCTGGGTAGGGAGTCACAGTACAAAGCGACGACCTTACCTTGGTCCCTCATACGGCCCCCCAGTGGGTGAAGACATTCATCGCAGAGAGCCCTCAAGTCCCACAAGTGACGTGGTCGGCCCTCGTGTGGGCCTGGAGCTGGAGAGGGGCACAACAGCGGATCATGTCTGCAGACATGTATAGTAACACCCAGGGAAATAGGTTGAGCCTGACTTTAGGCCTATCGCCTGTACTATGTAGTCACCTGCACAGGCAGAAGCCACATTGCTTTTTCCTTTTATGTTTTTGCAAACAGTTATTATTTCTGTTCATCATATTTGCATTATCTACTGAGATGCAGCACCATACTGTCCAGTCTCATTACTAGTGGTCTACTCTTTTGAATCATTACCTAGCAAGTTATACAGTAATGTTACAGGTCATGTTTCACTCTATAAGTAGCCTATAACTTGCTTTCTGATGTTTCATGTTTACCTATACTCCACATGTCTAGCTGGTCCTTGTTTTCTGTCTAAACAGTTAGTCATGTTTGACGAGCCTAATACCTTTGTCTAATATAACTTAAAAAGTTTATTAAATGTCACGATGATATATGTTTATGAAGTGCTTGCTATTGTTATTGTGGCATAGCAAGCTTGATTGGAACCTCATGTACAGCAAAAATAAAGAATTTTGAAAATGTAAGCACATGATAACTGATCTGGTCAATTAGAAGGCTGAATTGAAGAACTTTGTCAGTCTCATATTTTACATTAACCCCTTCCCGCCGGATGACGGACTTAGTCTGTCATGGCGGGGATAGGGTTAACGCCGGATGACGGACCAGGTCCGTCATGCGGTAAAGTTAACCCCATATCGGCAGGGTTAATGGTGCTCCGGTCTGCCTCTGTATTAGAGACAGACCGGGAGCACCCGATCAGTGATCAATTGACAGGGTATACATTTTACTGTGATCTGATTTTTTTTTTTTTTAACCCCTGAGGGTCAATGTTTATTTTTTGTAATCCCCAGGGGATTAATTTTATTTTATTAATTTAAATAAATTAAAATAATATATTTAGCTAGCTGGGGTGGGTGGAAGTTAGTGGGGAATTGGGGAAATTAAGCACTGAGGGTTACAAAAAAATAAAAGTTGACCCTCAGGGGTTAAAAAAAAAATCAGATCACAGTAAAATGTAGTCCCTGCCAATTGATCACTGTAGTCCGTGGTCAATTGGCAGGGAAGGGGTTAATTTTTATTTAAAATTGGTAAAGGGGGGTGGGATTTTCAACTAACTTTATTTATTTTTTTACAGGGGAAGCAGATCATCACTGATACGTCTCCCGGAACTTCACACAGAACACGAAAGTACAGGGAAACGGATGGTGAGTCCCTGCAGCACATGTGCTCACTCTGACAGCCTGTCAGAGCGATCACTGCTGCAGGGGAAGCGCGATCGGGTGCTCCCGGTCTACCTCTAATAGAGAGGCATACCGGAGGAGTGTTAACCCCGCGATCGCTGCGATCTGGGGTTAACTTTACCGCATGACGGGGCGGAGCTTACCAGCCGAGCAAGCCGGACGCTCATGGTGGGAGCTCCCGCACCGGAGGCCTTGATTCAGGGCTTTACGCCCGACCACCGGATCGTGCCGGCAGCGGACAACCACCCTCGTATCCAGGAGGGAAGGCTGAATCCGGAGACACCCGATTCGGGGCTCTCCGCCGCGGGAAAGCCCTCATCACAACCCGCGGCCTGCACAGGTGGGAGCCGTGGAGAGACGGCCGCTCTCCCGGTTCTCAGGCTGAAGAGGGGACACTCACACACCACTTCCCCCCCCCCTTTGGACCGGTGGGGGATATCCCGGTCCCCACCAACACGAGAAACAACAAGTCAAGAGCATAGCAGACGCCACTGAACTTCCAAGCAGAATGGAAGCAGGGGCACCCAAGATGACGGAGGAGCTCAGCCTCACTTCACGTGGCCTGCTGCAGCCACAACACAGCAAAGACAAGCAAACAGCAAAAGGGAGAAAGATGGCGAACCATGGTACAAGCAGCACCCTTGCCACTCTACCCAAACACACCCAGGAGTTCTTTGACCAACTCTGCTCCAGTTTATGGTCACAACTCCGGCATAAGGTTCGGCCCTTTAAAGAAGCAGTCCAAGCAATAGCATTATGGGTCCGACCAGCTACCAGGCGGCAACTTTGTAAGTACCCACAGCGAGCCCCCAGGGCGGCCTCCAGAAGGGGACGAAGACAGAGAGCAAAGCAACGAGTGGCGATGGATTGCCCCTCAGGCGCCAGCACTCTTCCTCTCAAGCGACCACAAGCGGCGGAGGAGGCCCCCGAACAAACGCCTGCACAGCCCCAGCAAAGCCTCACATCAGACAGACAAGATGGTAACCAAGCTCAAGCGACGGCTCACAACCGGAATTGTACAGCCGCTGCACAGGAGATAACCCCTACACAGAAAGCCTCGGACGGCTCACAGACCTTTACTGAAAGCCTGCCGACCTCTGGTATCGGGTAAATGGGGACACTAGCAACAAAATGGCAGTCTGATATGCCACTGTGCACGGTCAAATGAATAACTAGCACCCCTAGAACGGTTCATGCCAACCTACCAAATATTGCGTACACAGGAACACCCAAATTAACTTTGTAGTCACTGTTACTGAACCTTGTTTATTGCATATTTTAAATGTGTACAATTGAAAAAAGTTTGCATTGTGATGCGTTAGGCGCTATAAGTTCTCTATCCTTCTGCTTATTCTAACTGAAATGTCTGAGCTTACAGGTATGTCTGTCGCTCTTCTGCTCCCTGGTGGATAAACTTAATTAAGCTTATAAAAATCTGTTATTAACAACGACCTTAACACGTGTCTTAACGACAAAAAGCAGCTCACTATTTTGTTTTTCACAACGTTTGCCCAGCATGAATGCCGACTTAGATATGTTGAGTGACAGTTATCTTGATGCATTTTACTTAATCTCACGCTGACGACGCAACTGTTTAACCAAACTTGTTAAAATTAAAAAAAAATGTGCAGACTCTCATGCCACTGTTATACCAATGTATATTTTCCATTACGCTGTTGTGGCGTCTGTTGATTCCTTGTACCTACCTGCACAGCAAAAATAAAGAATTAAAAAAAAAAAAAAAAAAAACTTTACCGCATGACCGGGTCCGTCATCTGGATTAAGGATTTGCCAATGGTTTTTAGAGTTTTTTAAATTTTTTGTGGGAGCCTGCGAGTTATATTTGGTTATTAACCCCTTAAGGACTGGACTGTTTTTGCGTTGTTGTACATTTGCGACCAGGCCTCTTTTTACACTTTTGTGGTGTTTGTGTTTAGCTGTAATTTTCTGCTCTCTCATTTACTGTTCCCATACAAATTATAAATTGTTTTTTTCAGGACAAAAGGGGCTTTCTTTGGGGCGGGGCCTGACCTGCAAACTAGACGGTCGCATGGCAGAGGAGCTCCCAATGCCAAAGCGTTTTTTTGCGGATATACTCACTAATTTGATTACTAAAAAGATGCCGGGGTACGCTACCCATGCTGGGGGCACCCTGGCAAATCGCCTGATACCAAACTCAAGTATTTCCCACAAGCACAAGCCTAGCTCAGAATTTTGGCGCTTTTGGATCCGTATAGGCGACCCTCTCCCTTCTTCTCCTTTCTTTAGTCCAGTCCTATATGGATACAGGAGGGGGTATATAGTGTAGTATAGTTGATATTATTATGAGTATGTAAAAGTGATAAATGAGGTACTCACAAACCCAGAGCCAGTCTATAGGCTCACTTCAATGCGCATATGTGGTTTAAGGACCACACTCCTTCTTTATATTAGCAGGAAAAAAGCCATAAGTGTGTCAAAAAATATGTATCATTTATTAGTTATAAAAAATTATTACACATTATAAAAATTCCTATAAAAAATATATATAAAAAGTAAAACACTTATGAGGCTAATAGAGTCCAATAAAGTCCAAAAAAAGGGAGTTTTCAGTGCTCACTTCTCTTTCCAGAACGCGTTTCGCCAGGTGGCTTCTTCAGCTGGTCAAATTCAGTGATGTTTCCCTGGACTTCTTTTCCTGCTTTAAATACCCTTCTTCGTTTGTAGAAACAGCTGTCTATGCTCGGATTTTCGCGGGTATTCTCCATGGTGACGGAGATACCTTGCGTTCCAAGCCTCATTCTGGTCTCTTCCTGCTTCCTCTTTCTCGGCCGATACATCACTTCCGGTTTCGGCGATTTTCATGGCTATGCGTTCCACAGTGCGTTCCACAGTGGTTATTGCGATCCAATACTGTCTCTCTCAGTCATAGACATTAAAAATAAGTATAAAAAGCATATAAACGATTATTTAATTACTGAGTTGGCATATTCTTTTCACATTTATCTGTTTTAGACAGACAGTTATTAAAAAGAACTATTTATGTGTAATGTTTGACTTAGCATGTCTTTTACAATTATTAGTTCATTTAAACTAATTCTTAAGATTATACATTAGTAAAAAACAATTATTTGCCAATAAAGAGATAAAACTTTAAGCTTCATTTTGACTAATTCTTAAGATTATACATCGGTGAAAAAATAAATTCCATACATATATCATCACAGAGAGATAAAACTTAAAAGGTGTGAACTAAAAAATGCATATAGTTATAGAGAGATATAAAAGAGTGAATGGTAGGAAAAGGTATAGTTACCATAAGTCAATATCAAAATTACTTTGAAAATTAATCAAAAAGAGATTTCTATTAGAATAAGTTTCTAATATATATTTTTTTTAAAAATTATTATTTTTATTTTTATTGCCAATATAAGATCTTAGTATAATATTTATTCTTAAAGTTAGAGAAGGAAATGGCACATTTCAAAGTCGGCATTTAGACCATTTGGAATCAGACAATTTAGTTTGAATATCCATTCCATCTCTACTTTACTCAATTTTTGGTTAAAATCTCCTCCCCTCCAATCTTTAGTTACTTTTTTAATTCCTAAAAACATAGTACCCTTTAATTCACAGTCATGATAATTTTTATAATGCAGAGACACACTGTGTTTCTCGAATCCTTTACTTATATTACGGCCATGTTCCTCTATTCTTATATGCAATGGTCTAGTGGTTTTTCCTATGTAATTTAAACCACAGGGACATCTTATGAGGTAGATAAAAAATTTTGAGTGGCACGTAATAAACTCTTTAATTTGGTATTCTACACCTTCATTAGTTCCAAATTTTTTAATTTGTCGTTTTTTTATTATTAGTTCTTTTACAGGCTAAGCATTGTCCGCATCCATAAAACCCATTCTCTGAATTAAAAAATGTTGTATTATTTTTAGGTTTTTCTTTTATATAGCTGGATGTTAGGGAATCTTTTAGGTTATTAATTCCCCTATGTATAAAATGTGGCTGGTCTGGTAAAAAGGTTTTTAGAGCGGGGTCTTGGAGTAGGATAGGCCAATATCTGGACACGATTTTTCTGACTTTATGATTCTCGGAACTATAAGTACATATAAAGGGTATTTTACCCATTTCGACCCTGGTATGTACGCCACTGGTCTATACAGATGTTTAACCCCTTAAGGACTGAGCGAAATGTACACGTTGTGAACGAAACAAAATGTAAACAAAACCTGGCATTTGCGCTACATGTCTGTCCAACCGTAATTCACCTCTTTCATATTAAATGCACCCACCCTTATCATATATCATTTTATTCAGGGGAAACAGGGCTTTCATTTACTATCAAATATTTAGCTATGAAACATAATTTAATGTGAAAAAAATTGGAGAATATAAGATTTTTTTGATTTTTTTAGTTCTACGTGACATTTTAACTGTCAATGTCATAATACTGTTTGCTTTTACTGCAATAAAATACACATATTTGTATTCAGTAATGTCTCACGTGTAAAACAGTACCCCCTATGTACAGGTTTTATGGCATTTTGGGAAGTTACAGGGTCAAATATAGCACGTTACATTTGAAATTGAAATTCGCCAGATTGGTTACGTTGCCTTTGGGACTTTATAGTAGCCCAGGAATGAAATTTACACCCATAATGGCATACCATTTGCAATAGAAGACAACCCAAGGTATTGCAAATGGGGTATGTCCAGTCTTTTTTAGTAGCCATTTGGTCACAAACACTGGCCAAAGTTAGCGTTAGTATTTGTTTGTGTGAAAAATGCAAAAAACGCCAATTTTGGCCAGTGTTTGTGTACAGGTTTTATGGTATCTTGGAAAGTTATAGGGTTAAATATAGTGCTAGCAAATTAAATTCCCTTTACTTTCGGCATGGGTTGTCAGGCAGGTCCCGCTAATTGTAATTAATTAAGATACCTAATTATGTAAAAATATTACATAAATATATATGTAGAATTAATATATGTATATATATATGTATGTGAATCTATTTGTGTATATATATATATATATATATATAATTTAAAAAATATATTTTTATTTAAGTATATGTATATATATAGTGATATATACGTATATATTTATGTATGTAGATATATATATTATTTCGTTCTACGTGTATTTTGATATAAATATATATATATTAATATCACAATACAGTTAGAACGAAATAACACACATCTATATATTTTTTAATTATTTATTTTTAATTATTTTTTAATTTTATTTTTTAACGTATTTACATATTTAATTTTTTTATATTATATATAAATATATATATATAACAATAATTATATATATATTTAATCAGTATCAGTCTACGTGTAATTTGATATTAATATATATATAATTATATATATATTAATAGTAAAATACACCTAGACAGTGTACGTGTGTGTATGTATATGTGTATATACTTAGATCATATATATATAATATAGTATAGTATATATATATGATCTAAGTATATATATATATTTTTTTTTATACTTATAAATTTTATTTTAATTTAAATTCTAGTCAGCGGGGGATAATTACAGGCAGCCCCCCTGCTGGCAATACAGAAGCCAGCTATCCCGGCCATGTGATTGTGAGGTCCTCGCAAGGACCTCACTCTCACAGGGCCGGGGGGCACCGGAGGAGGAGGAACTGCCGCGGGGGGGCTCCCTGGGAGTCCCCCCCCACTGCGATCGCCGGCGTGGGACCGCCGGTGACCAGGTAAGTAAACAAAAACCGGAGGGGGTACAATTACGCCCGGCGGCGTTTAGAGCCGCCTAAAATAGGGCGTAATTGTACGTCCTCCGGTCTTAAGGGTTAAACTGCAATTGGATAAATACTTGCAAAACCATAACATACAGGGATATAATTTCTAGTGCCAGCGCTACCACGGGAGTAGCCTGGTTGGAGCCAAGGTGACGGAACGGCGTAGTAGGCTCCTCACTCCAGACCTGGATCTGCTGCTGGAGGGGAAGACAGGCTGTCTCCCCTTTGGATAAACAGCCCTGCTGCTGGAGGGGGAGACCGACTGTCTCCCCTTTGGCTAAACAGCCCTGCTGCTGGGGGACAGGACTGACTGTCCCTACCCCCGGTGGTGCATGTGCAGAGTCCCATCTGCACTGTTGTGGAGATTACTGTCTCCCCTTGGTGGGCTAAGCTGCTGCTGGGGAGAGGGGGTAACAAGCTCCTCTCCCATACATACTTTCAGCCTCTGGGGAGAGGGGGTAACAAGCTCCTCTCCCATACATACTTTCAGCCGCTGGGGAGAGGGGATAACAAGCTCCTCTCCCTGACACTCTCTCTGCTGTTGGAGGGGGAGACCGACTGTCTCCCCTTTCAATAATTTGTCCTGTCGCTGGGGAGAGGTGATAACCGGTTCCTCTCCCTGGAACACTCTCTGCTGTTGGAGAGGGGGACCAACTGTCTCCCCTTTTAATATATTGTCCTGCTGCTGGGGAGTGAGACCGACTGTCTCCGCTTCCTGCAGGACACACTGCCGCTGGGGAGGAAGGACTGCACCTTCCGCTCCCTGGGACTCACTGGACTGCTGGGGAGAGGGACCAACTGTCTCCTCTCCTAAGGACACACACTGCCGCTGGAGAGGAAGGACGGCACCTTCCGCTCCCTGGGAAACATACTGCCGCTGGGGAGGAAGGACGACACCTTCAGCTCCCTGGGACACACACTGCCGCTGGGGAGGAAGGACAGCACCTTCCGCTCCCTGGGAAACATACTGCCGCTGGGGATCTGGGCCGACTGCCCAGCATCCCTGTAGGGCCTGTTGAGAGACCTCGGTCCCATCTCCACTTGCCAGCTTCCCAGGACAAGTCAATAAGGTCTTCCATATCTGGGGCTGGTTGGGACATATGTGGTACAGTACCAAGGTCCCCTGATAACAGGCTTGGTTGCTGGGGAGGAGGAACTAAACTCAATGCTTCCGGTGGTATACAATCAATATGCCCCATCATGTCAGAGACAGGCGGCGTTATACGTTGGAATAGGCAAACATAATCCTGTTCTAGTTCCCACTCTCGGTTGGCAAGAAAAGATAGATCTGACTGAATGGCATTGATCTCCGTAAGATCCCAGTTGTCTGCCCGCTCAGCTCGGATGGACCAGAAGCGAGCAATGTCGGTGTCTCCAAACCAGAGACTAGTTTCAATAGTATCCCACAACAAACCAGGGCCATCGTAGTCATCCCCCTCAATACACTTGTACTCAATCAGCCATGGGTAGAGGTGGTAAACATGCCACCGCAGGGCCCGATAGGAATCATCCAGCCACACCTCAGTCTCAACTAGCATCTCCAGTTCGCTTACCCATTCCTCTGAGGGCTGGTTTCCCAATAACGGCATCCGCAACTCTAGTTGTTCTGCTTGGCGCTGGTTAGTGGTCAGGATTTCCTCGCACCGGAAGGGTCGAATTTTGTTGATGTCCTCCTTCCAGAGATCGGTACGAAGCACCACCCTCCATTCTGTCTCTCTTTCCTCTGGGATAGGATACTCCATACTGCGTATGACATCCTGTAGTCGCTGCTGGAGCCTGGCGTCAAAGTGAGATACTGCACAGCCTACCATCTCTGAAGTAGTGCTGGTTTTCCCAAGGCTAGGAAGCCATCCCACCGCTTGCCACCAATGTAACAGATCACCTGGCACCCCGACTGGGTACCTCCACCAATGTAACTCCACAGTATGTCCCCAGATGGTTCTTAAAGGGCCAGCAGCAGCACAACACAAATCCATTATGCCCAAATCATGTCTTTAAAGGGCAATACATCCCAGGGGCCATAGTCACATAGCAGGAGGCTGGCAATCAGTCTTCTCCAATGCCCAGTGGCGAGGTCGGTTTCGCCACAGGGGTCAAGAAGGAATTTTGTCCTAGTTTGTTGCAAAATTTTAAGCGTTTCAGACTGGGTTTTTGCCTTCTTTTGGATAAACAGCAAAAACATATGTGAGGAAGGCTGAACTTGATATATGCAAGTTTTTTTTCAGCTATGTAACTATGTCCTACCATTCAGGCCTCTCATGGGTCAAGTTGGTTATATACGCATTATGATATGGAGCAGGTCTGCAATTTTGCATCAGTGTGTAAATTGCAACTGCAACCATTATCAAGCCTATCATTTCACACACCCACTAATTTTCAAACTGCTCTTAAATGGCCACCCCGCTACTCATGATTTACAATACATATAGTCCCTGGTGGGCTTACAACTACAACATAATTTTGGCCTTAATGTCACTCGGGGGTTATATATTGCCCTATTATACCAAGTTTAAGTACACCACTGTAAAAATAAATAAATACAATCAAATTAACCAGATCAAATACCAGAGCATTACTAATGTCCATACGCAATTCACAGCCCATTTCTCAGCTCCTACAAACTTGGTACGATTAACCTACATTTGTTCATGCCATAATCATTACTTTATATACAGCCTACTATACACCCGGCAGCTCAAGACTTTCACACCGCCCGCCTGGTCCGCTCCTGTCAGAGAGCAGTATGGGTCTACCTTTCCGGCAGACGCCCACCGGGTCCGTTAATGCCCAGGAGTGGTCTGGAATGGCGGGCACATCACGGTCCAGTGGCATTCCCACGTGGTTATGGGAATGCCGCCTATCACTCACCCCCAATGATTGCTCCTCCTCCTCTCACAGCAGCCGTGTCTGTAAACATTAGAGACGCCGGCTGATGCAGCTTTGTTAGATTTAAGTTTTTTTTAGTTAAGTGCTATATCATTATTGATCTGTGGGTGTGCCACACACATGCCCACGAACACATGCTTCCCTGCAGCCAATCAGGAAGCACCTTAGACTATTAAAACCTGTTTTGTCCATTTCTCTGTGCCCTGTCATGGTTTCCATTGTGGTTATCCGAGAGCGCGTTCCTGGTATTGATTCTAGTGTATTTGACCTTGGTTTCCCTTCTGACTATCCGATCTCTGTATTCCTTGACCTTT